AAGCGCAATTTCATCACTTGGATCTCAATGATCAAAGCTAATGAGTGTAGTGTCATCAATTATTGGGATGAGTGACAGTAAATATGGAGAACAAGTATGTTCTGGGTTAGAACAAGAGAAAGGAAATGACTCAACTTAAAACCGGACAGCACTCATGCATGCTAGAACTCTAGAACTACCTCCAGGAGCAAACATCTGGCATGAGAAATTGATTTCAGCTGAAGACCTCCAGGTTTTCTTTGCTAAAACTGATCTCTCTCCTTTCTACTGCTGAAGCAGTGATACCACGGAAAATGTGCTAGGCACGGTGATTAGCAGCTCTGGTCCTCAGGTCCAGCTTGTCAGAGGCAGTATAACCCTGGGCTTGTGTTTTATCTTCTCTCGTCATGTTTTGCTGTGTCTAAATGGTAAGGATTGGACTAGACTGGTGATTGTTAAGGAATATCTCCAGTTTGGTAGCGCCAGCTTTACCTGGGAGCTTTTTGAAATGTCCATGTTCCAGCCTCACCTCTAATTCAGAGGTCCTATGTCCCTGAGGATGGGGCAAAGCATCTGTTTAAGGAGCCCTCTGGTTTGTTCAGATGCACATGGAAGCTTAAGAATGACTGCCCTACGTTAAATCATGGTCTCAGTATTTGGATCATTGGACTTGACCTCAGAATTTCTGACTCAGAAGGTGTGTGATGGACCCTGGGAATTTGCTCTGTGAACACAGCTTTGCTGCTGTTGGCTGGTACTGCACTTTGACAATGGCCACCTCCATCTTCTCTGAGCTCCATTCTGACACTGATGTGACAGTGCTATTGTTCTCACACTGCTCTCTGCCACCTTCCTTTTACTTTTAGGTTTCTCAACTAACAGCCTCTAGATAAGTTAACAATGAAAGGGTTGAACATATCCTACCTTGTAGAGTGTGATAGATAAAAAGGCATTCTCCCAAAGTTTTACAGCACATGTTAATATGAAACACCTATACTTATTTAGCATTTAAAACCCCAGGGACTGGAGAAATGGCTCAGTGGGGAAAGCACTTGTGCAAGCATGAAGACCTGGGTTAGAATCCCCAGAACCCAAACAAAGCTGGCTGTGGTAGAACACATCTGTAATCCCAGCACTCCAATAAGGAGATGGGAGGCAGAGACAGGAGACTCTCTGGAAGCTTGCAGGGCAGTTGGCCCAGTATTTGCAGCTGCAAGCAAGAGAATATCTTAAACGAGGCAAAAGTTGAGGAACAACACTTAGGGCTGTCCTGTGACTGCCATAGGCATGCATTCACACACATGAGTACACACTACACATATATAAATATACATCATACACACATGATAAACAAAATAAAAATAAAAGCAACTCCAGACAGTTTACACAGTTTACTTAGTTACACACCTAACTACAGGCATTTGCAAAGGCAGCATCTTCAGACAGGCAGACACATTCAAGAATGTCTGATCCAGTTTTCGTTTGCTCCCTTGTGTTGTCTGATCATTTGAAGGGTTTGATGACCAATTTAAATTAAGTTCATTTCCATTCTAAGATGCTGATTAATTAGGAACGTTAAAGACTCCATGTTACCTCCTCAAATGATCCTTGTAATCCCACCTCTTTTTTCCTAGGGTTTTCTAGCTTCTTGAGGTGGGATGACACTACACAAGGCATGGCATCTGCTAAGGACATGGCAAGCCTCTGCCTGTCAAACTGAATGACTTAGTTAGCTCATGTTACGAATAAGATCCACTGTTTTCTGCTTATCGGTAATTGGATAATTTTCTAGTAACAGATATGAAAACTATATAAGCAAAAAAGCAAGAACCTAACATTTACTATAATATCGCATTACTATTATGTTGAATTATACGCCTCAAGCTTTGCTTTTATTGTCTGGTTTGTCCTTACAATAACTATGTGAGGTACTGCAGTCAGCTTTTGCAGTTTTACAAATAGGGACAGTGATGGAAATATAGTGTATGGATTTGGATTCTGATTTGCTCACTAACTAAAGGATCCTAAGTTCTCAATAAGGATGCGTTCAATTCATGAAAGAATGACTGTAATCCCATGATCTTATTTTTAAAAACACTTGTATAATTCTTTGTGAATTTTATGCAGTGTATTTTGATCACATTCAGCTCCCTGTTCCTCCCCGACTCCTCCCAGATCCACCCTACCAGCCCCAAACCTCAACTTTGTGTCCTATTTTTCAATAAAGATTTATTTTTATGTTGGGTGTATGAGTAGTTTGCCATGCATGTGTGTATGCGGACTACATGCATGCCTGGTGCCAGTGGAGTTCAGAAGAAGGTATTGGATCCTGTAGAACTGGAGTAGTATGCTCCTAACTACTGAGCATCTCTCCAGATCTCTTCCCCCTCTTTAAAAAAATAATAGCCTATGGAGTCCAATTTGTGCTCTCTATATACTCCCGAATGTGGGGACATCCACTGCATTGGCTGACTGAGAAGGCCACACCCATCAAGAAAACTGGCCCTCACCCCCACAGAAACCATCAGCTGTCAAGAGCGCCTCAGTTAGGGCTGGCGTCTTCTGTGGCTCCCCTTTCATGCTAGAATGCAGACTGACTTGATCTCCTGCAGCTCCTCCTCAGGCAACCACAGCTGCTGTGAGATCATGACAGCAGTGGGCCTGTCATGAGCAGAAGTCATGGTTTTTCTTGAGTGCTCCCCAACCTCTGGCTCTTACAATCTTTCTGCTTTCTCTTCTGTGATGGTTTCTGAGCCTTGGGGTGGGGTGGGGTGATATAGGTCCCCGTTTGTGGCTGAGCACTCACTGACTCCATCTTCTTAACAGTAGATGTTTAGCAATCATAGGACTATAAAGTTGGAGTGGCTCCATAGGTTATAATTTAATCAGGCTTTGTAGTCATCTGTCTACTTTAAAACACCTTTTATATGTGGACGCATAGAACAGCACTAGGGAAAGGGAAGGAACTGCAGCCTCGACATCAGAGGCATTGTCGGACAAACTTAGTATCAGAGAATTCCCTGTGCATCACACTTCCATTTCAGCCTAGTTCGACCCCTGTAACCACTTAGTCTCAGCCTTAACCTTCTTCCGCACATGAACACAGCCTGTTTTCTTCTCTCAAGCTGAATGGCCCCTATTTCCTCAGCTACTTCTCAAGGTCCCAAACACAGAGTAGCACCTTCATGGATGCTGTCAGGCAAAAGCAAGAAAGAATAGGTACAATGTGCAGAGGGTGCTCCCTGCTGCCTCCTCTCCAGCGTGAGGTGTGTGGACCGCATTCTAGGTACAGGCTAGGACGTTTCAGGAGAGATTGAAGGCAGGTTTTTTGATTGCTCTTGGACTGAGCGGTGGTCACTCACAAAGACATTGTGTTTTGTTTTCTGTTGTGGAGTGTGCCCCCACTTCATCCCCGGCACCTCAGGTTTGTACCAGGTCATAGCAAGCTGGAGTCGAGCAGCAGACCCAGTGCTTTCCTCCCAGGTTAAAGGGGAGACCTGGGCACTGGAGGCTCAGTTCCAATTTAAGCAGCCCAAGTTTTTTCTTCAATGTACAAAGCTTGGGCTTACCTCAGCTAAAAGAGAAGAAATAGCTGCTCAAAGCTAGTTTCTTTCACGCCCCACTGGCAAGGTAGTAATTGCACAAAGACCTTTTTATTATAAGTTGATTTTCCTGAGAAATGAATTCAGAAAAATACTGTAAAGTGTTTATTTTTTGCTTGCCCTTTATTAACCCACATCTTAGGGCATTCCCTAGAGAAAGACTGTTGGCAAATGAAACCTTTCAGACCCACGCAGAAGCGTTTTGCACTCTGTCCCTGATGGTGAAGGGACTAGGGACAGGGTGAGGGGAGCGGTACTACTTAAGCACGGTCCTCCACTCATATTGCAGTTTTTCTTAAAGAGAAAATTCAGGTATTTAGAAGGAGAAGCATTTGAGCTTTGTAGAATTGCTGGAAAACGTATCTTAAATATTATATAATGTAGCCCTTTTATACTAGCAAAAAGGCCATAGATCCTGTCTGAACGAAAAGATCATGCCTTTCGATACATCTCAGTTTTGATCTTTAAATAAGAAAAGTCCTATAGCCCAACCTATAAAATCATGTCCTGAAAGCCAGGACAAACCCTTCCTGTTCTGCAATGTGGAATCAGGGCAACATGCCTAGAGTAAAGAAAGGAACTAGGAAATTAAAATGTAATTTTCAGGAGCATGATTCTGTCATAGCTCTTATTTTCTTTATATGGAGTACAAACACGGATATAGAGTGAAGATTTTCTATTTTGCATTTTTGTGCTCTTTGATACATTTATTGAGGTCAAATGAAATTTGATATAGTAGGATTTATTATGAAATGCTCTGTGAATACAACTCCATAATTACTGAGCTACACGGTAGTGCATAAAGCTGTAAAACTGCTTAGCCCGACAAGCAATTTATATGTTACATCGAGGTGTGTATGGCAAAGGGTATTAGCTTAATTGGGAGTCAAGATGTAGTAGCCTTAAATCTGAAGAGCTATATGTTTAATATAATACAGCAAGGCTTCAGAGTATGCTACCTAAACGAGGGAGACATAGCTTTTGGAATATATAACAATTAGATGTTATTTTCTGGCCAAGGATACTAAATACTCTTCAGAAACAAGCTCATAATGCGAAGCAGGTGAAAGGGCAAAACCTCTCACCACTGTAGTATAAGAGCATTTAGTTCTTTCTCTTCTTTGTTTAAAAGAAAGAAAGAAAAGAAAAATAAGTCAAGAAAAAAAACAGCCATTAAGCACGGTGTGGTGGAAGCAGGGATGAAGCGAATTCACAGTGAAACGATGTGGCTGCTGTGCTAATGGCATCTAAGGAGAGGGATTATGTGGATTTTGCTTGAATTTTCTCAGCTTCAGATCTGGAATGAGGTGAGGGGTGGGTGGCAGTGTGGGTACCAGCACACCTCCAGGAGTGGAAAACAGATGATTCCTGGCACATATTTGCTCCCTGTCTGATCACAGGCTCTCTTCTGTTTAGCAGGTTCAGGGGCACATGCCTCCGCTCATGATCCCAATTTTTCCACATGACCAGCGGACCCTGGCAGCAGCTGCTGCTGCCCAACAGGGATTCCTCTTCCCCCCTGGAATAACATACAAACCAGGTGAGTAAAAGAACTCTGCACATCCTTTTGGAAATGCTCAGATCCACATGCTTTTGCCTGGCAGTCACAACAAACACAGGAGCAGGCAAGGGAGCTGTGGATAAAAACACCACAAAGCATATTTTCAAGTAAAACTAGAACTGGGGAGTGGGGCATTGTCATAAACTAACTGGTCACTACAGCTCTTACTTTCCCTTCCTCCCTTGAGTCTGTTCTGAATTACAGATGAAATGTTGCTTTCCCGGGAACTACAGAATTTTCACCAACTCTCTCATCTTTACTCCTATTCAATATCTTTGTTTAAAGATGCTTTCTTCCTCCTCAGAGATTCTATACTCTGGAAAACTTGTCACACACTGTATAGAATGTTGTTATTGGGTTTTTTGTTTCATTTTGTTTGGGGGTGGTGGTAAGATTTCTCTTGGGGGAAAAAGAGTTAAAACTGCACTGATTTAATTAGCTTGGTACTAATAGGTACAATTCTTTTTGATTTTAGTCTAAATAATGAAGTATTCGGTAATGTTTTTGAACCTCAAAAAAAAAAAAAGGTCACATAACACATAACCTTGTAGTAAAAAATGCTTTGCGACAATTTAGCAAATGTTATGATTTTTTCCTTATTCCTCTGAGTTTACTGGACTCCTGGGGAATTCAATTAGGGGCATAATGGTTTGAAGCTTCTTTCAGAGCCTCCTTGTAAACATGGTTTTAAATGTTTAAAGATAGCTTGCCAAAGGAATCCAATGTAAAAAGATAGTCAAGTAAATAGAAGTCAACCTTAATTTCATGTGCGCATTCTTTGTACGTGACCTCAGCTCAGAAGTAGTGACCTTGTTCTACTCATTAATAATTTCTGTGTCAAGGTCTTTTTAACATATTAACCTGATCATATTAACCACCAAATCTGAGTGCAGTGAATCTGAGTGCGGCTGTTTCTTTGTATATGTGGCTCATAAAGTGAACAAAGGCATTTTAATACGCTCAAGCCACAGAATGTAAATTATTTCCCTGAGATTCTGAAGAAGCTTACTAAACAGCTTAAAAACAAACCTAGTGAGTTGTGACATCTATTGTAATTGCTTCTTACCTTTGATTGCTCTTTTGCATTTGGTAGGGAACTCACTTCTTTGTTTAAAAAAAAAAAAAGGAAGTCTATATCAAAAATCAAAGCATTTGAGGAATAGTGATATTAAATGGATTGGATAATTTAAGGACTGTTTTAAAGCCTTCAAATACAAATGAGTCAAGTTTAAGTAGCCCAAATTTGAAAAAGTCCTCTGAAATCTGAAACTTTAAGGTGCCAAATTAATGTTGAAAAAGTTCTGGCTTTTGAAATATTTTAGATTATTTTTTTCTCAATCAGCAAAATACATGTAAGCATTCCAATATCTAAGATGCTGGTCTCAATATTTTAGACAGGGAATACTGGGCCTGTATTCTCTGAAGATTTTTGGATACCTGAATGAAAGAAAATTGTGCCATTCAAATAGTCATTTTCCTAAAGCAGGATTCTCACAGCGGGTTAACCCTCCATGTTGAACTGGCCTCTGGTTTATGGATAGGGGAAAGTGCTTTTGTCGGCACATTGGTCAGCGCTCCATCTCTGAAAGGTGCTCTGAATTAGCTCTTCATCCCAACTTCCTTCACATCATTGATGTAAACTCAATGTATTGTTTCATCTTGACTCTGAGTTGCCACCTGTCTCAGTTTGGGAACCTTTTAAGTAAACTGCATATGGAAGTTGTCCATTTCAGTTAGTGTTTTTGCAGTTAATGCTCTCCTCTCAAATCCAGGTAGAGGCTTGATTTTCTGTTACCTATAGACACCTCACTACGTGCTGCCTAATTTGTGTACAATGGTATCATTTCTCATGGGGAAGATACTGCTCTGTGTTCTGTGAATGAAATGGCCTCATGAACTGGCGTCAACAAGGTTGTACCAGGGACAATGTTGGGCAAGATTTAGTTACTTCAGTTAACTGAAGCTCAGCGTGGTGTCCTGGGGGAGCCAAGCTGTGCTCGACTGGGATGGCTAAGCCTGATGAGGAGGCAGCATAGTGGGTTTAGGTTTGTAGGATGATTCTTACTCACAAGCAAGGCGACTCTCTCAAGTATTTTCTGTCAACTACAAACTTATATCAAAGAATTTAATTGGAACTCTAAGTCCTTTGATAGTTTCTAATCTAGGCCTTATGATATGTGAAAATTATGTTTAGGTGGATTAAAAGTATATATGCTTAAGTTATTAGTAGAGAAATTACAAATTTATAAACCTTAACCCATGCAGTCTTTGGTCATTCACAGGCATTGGGGGAGGAAAACACCACTGGGCTAGAGTTTGAACAATAAATGTTTTGTCCAACTTAGCTATGGTAACTTCACTTGAAATTTGTATGAGCATCAGCTAAATTTTGAGAGATACATGCCAGTCTGAAAATGGTGGGATAAGTTTATGTCTAGATCTTGTAAAGGAGAAGAGGAACAGGTATCACCTTGGTCTTTGTAAATTGGAAAATAACATCTTTTTGCTTCTACTGCACCTTCCCATATCAGCAAGAAATTTCTGGTGTCTGTGAGCTCATTGAGTGAACTGATGCAGCTGATTGAACATGTGCCCTCATTGCCAGGCACAAGGACATCGTGGAATGACACCGTTTGTTAAACTTGGTGTGTGTGTGTGTGTGTGTGTGTGTGAGAGAGAGAGAGAGAAAGAGAGAGAGAGAGAGAGAGAGAGAGAGAGAGAGAGAGAGAATTGCCTGCATGTGTGCAGTGCTCTTGAAGGCCAGAAGAGGGTGTTAGGTCCCCTGGAACTGGAGTTATGGATGGTTATTAGCTGCCATGTGGGTGCTGGGAACTGAACCTGGGTCCTCTACAGGAACAGAGAGTGATCTTAACCACTGAGCCATCTTTCCAGCTCCAAACTTGGCCGTTTCTGATCTCATGTTATTATAGCATAACAAAGACATTGGGGTTCCAAGCCCTCGCTTCCCTCCAGGTCATGTGAGCCATGCTCTGGGAATTTCAGGATCCCGGTGTACGGTACACACCATGTGGGCTCTCTCATCTGAGCTGCTGAGGAGGTACACGGCCCTGTGTGTACTGTATAACTTCAGGAAGCAGCTTTCAGACTGGCTTTTCTAGAAAGAGCTTTATTGAGTTCAAATCTTAAATTTTTATAATTATATTAGTTCTATAATTAAAGACATCTTTCTAGACAGGAATTCATCATCAGGGCCAGAACATAAATCCAGACATTTAGCTGTTCTGCATGTTCACATTGTGAAATCAAAGACACAGCAGTCAAGGCGGTGGTGATAAAGCCATACATTTAAAAAAAATTGGATGTCCACGCGTCTTTTTCACATGGATAACCAGTTTTCCTTACACCATTTATTGAAAAGACTATCCCTTCCCTTTTTGATGATTTCAGTGCCCTTTGAAAAAATAAATTGAACATATATGGGAAGGTTTATTTCTGGACTGATCATTCCTCTATTCTGGCCTACCTTTCTTTATGTTAATACAATACTGTTTCAATAACTGTACCTTTGTAGCGAATTTCGAGGTGGGGGTGTTAGTCTTCTGATTTTATTCTTTTTAGAGATTGTTTTGGTTTTGAGGACCTATTGTAATTCCATATGAGCTTAAGAACTGCTTTCCTCCATTTTGTAAAAAAGGGTCATTATGATTTTAATAGGCATTGCATTGAATTTGTGGATTTCTTTGAGTACAATTATGTTCTAGTTAGCTTTCTGTTGTGGTGGTAAAACACTCTGACCAAAACCAACTTAGGGAGAAAAGTGTCTATTGCATCTCACTCTTCCCAGTGACAGTTCATCACTGACGGAAGCCAGAGCAGAAACTCAGGGCAGGAACCTGGAGGCGGGAGCTGAAGCCCAGACCATGGAGCAATGCTGCTTACTGGCTGCTCCTCTGGCCGGTGCTCAGCCTGCTTTCTTATACAACACAGAACAACCTGCCCAGGGGTGGTACCGCCCAGAGGGCTGGGCCCTCCGGGCCCTCCCACATCACTCAACAGTCAAGAAATTGTCTCACAGATATGCCCATAGGCCAGTTCAATAGAGGAAATTCCCCAACTGAGATCCCTTCTTCCAGGTGTGTCAAGTTGGCAACCGAAGCTTCCAGCACAAATTAACTTCTTAACACTGTTGTCTTCCTTTTGTCAGCATAGATACCTCTTTCCCTCTATTTCTGTCTTAAGTCTTGTTTTAATTTAAAAAGTTTCCATCAACACATGCAAATTGCACATATGTACATACTTATGGCATCCTACATGATGTTTTAAAATATGTATAGTTTATATAATGTGCTAATCCAGGCTAGCGTACCTGTCTCCTCTCGCCATGCTGTGCGATAGAATACAAGTCTTATTTCTCCTACTACTTGGTGCCTAGCTCTCTTCATTCCCTCTTCCCTCTCATTCTTCCCACAACTCCAGCTCAGCACTATTCTGCTCCCAATTTCCACGAGATCCATGTTTTTTTTGATTGCCACATGTGAATGAAGTCACAGAATATGTGCTTTTCTGTTCCTGGATTTATTTCACTGAATATAATAACTCCATGCTATTACATTCTTCATCCTTTTTATGGCTAGTGTTCCATTGCGCATGTGTGTGTTCCAGGCTTTTCGGTTGGTGACTTAGGTCATTTTTATGCCTTCTTTATTTATTTCGGTGGTGTGTTACAGTTTTCAGGGTTTAATTCTTTCACCTTCTTGATCAGATTTGTACCCAGGTTTTAAATTCTCTTAGTATTGTAAATGGAATTTCTTTCTTAATTTCTTTTTGGGTTATTTATTCATGGTATAAAGACTTAAATTGATCTTTATTATATTAATCCTATGGTCTACTACTTTACTGAATTCGTTCTTTTGACCTAGTACCTTTCCCATGGATTTGGGGTAGGTTGTGTATTTAGGTTTATAGTGTCTATAAATATATTTATCTTTATACTTTTCTTACCAATTTGGATGCTTTTT